AAAACATATTTTATTACCGGAAAAATACATATCCTATCAAAACAAAAATACATATTACAGGGAAAATACATATCTTATTAAAACAAAAATATAGATCTTATCACAGGAAAAATACAGATCTTATTTAAACAAAAACACATATCTTATTAAAACAAAATACATATCTTATTAAAACAAAAATACAAATATTATTTCAAATAAAATGCATATCGTATTAAAAGAAAAATACCTATCGTAATAAAATAAAAATACATATATTATTTCAACAAAAATGATTATCTAATGACAATGAATATACAGATATTACAATAATGAAATTAGAGGTATTATAACTATAAAAATACATATCTTATTAGAGCAGAACTATATATCTTATTTCAGGAAAAACACATATCACAATGACAAGTCATATCTTGTTATGAACAATTAGAAAACGAACTTTTTTGCATTGGTTTTGTGCACCCCAGTTTCCTCACACAATAAGACCCCGCGCACGATTTCATCCTACCAACAAGAGCGATTAAGAAAATCTGGAAGAAACTTATTTTGTGTATCTATTTATTCTCATTTGATACAACACACCAATTCATTAAAAAGCAAGGAAACTATTCGCAGATTAGCAATAGACCGGTTGACCATGAAAGTAAGAATTTGGTAATAAGAAAAAAATACTGTTTGTCTTGTGTATATTTTTTCGTTATTACATAGCTAATAAGTTCGTCCTTGACTTAAGACATCACTTCCCAAGTGAATAGCTGATGTTGAAATCTGGTTCTCGGTTAAGGTAATTACGTCTATGTAGACCAGTGGGAGTCTCAAGTAAATATTAAACGCTTCACCCTTATGTTTTAACACACAGGATGGTGATAAAGGATAATTTGTCAGCGTTTTACGCGCTTTTTTTAACGATAAGATCGACAAGTTGTTTTCTAACACAATAAGTGTTTCCATAGTGCCAATGCTTCGTAAAGAGCCTGATAAATACAAATTTTTCAAAGTACTGTACAGACAATATTCTTTAAGAAATCTGAGAAGTCCAATCACCCTCTAGGGATTCAAGTTAGTATTAGGAGATTTAAACGAAAATTTATCATTTATCTACATTCATTACAGGAGACCAATTAACGAATAAGCAATATACAGCTTGTTTACAATTTCTCGATTTCGAACTTCCATATAAAAGATAACGTGTATGCGAAAAATGGAAGTAAAACATTGGCGAAGGACTTAAAGTATCATCACAGCATAGCAACGATATCAACGTGAAACTTCTCTTAGACCATGATAATGTGTTATATAAATCTATATCATTTAAACAAGTGTCTGATATAATATTTGTTCAGTAAAAATAGTTTAAAGAAAAGAATGGTTTATTTCGTGAAAAATATGCATTATTAATGGTTCTTATTTAATTCGAGTGGAATCTCTCCTAAGCAAAGTTATTTGAACAAATTGCACATACTTACGACGCACCAGGGAAGGTGACACCTTTCTACTCCATTGGTATTCAGCTGTTTCGCGTACTTTAAGGGGTAGGAACAAACACTTCAACCTGTAATGAGGACGGGAGGGAATTCATTCTTTTAAATGCCAACAATATTGCTTAGTACGGTAAATGAGATATCTTTAATCTATTACTAACGGGGGTTTGATGTTAGAGATGTCCGAGACTCTAGAAATGCTTATCCTAGTATGTTTGAATGATAATAAGGATTTTGTACCAAAACTGGATCTGACACATTTTCTATTTATAGAAATTGCATCGATATTCACACAAAACTGTAACAGAATGTTCATTTCTATTTAGACACAAAGATATGGGCTCACTTTAATATCATGGAGTGATTTTATTAGTGTTATCGGGTCTACGTTTTCCCATCTAATATCATGCGATAGACCAGGATGAATAGCGGAAGACTGTCATGGTTCATTTTATCTTATACTTATCACACTTCATTGGATTTTAAATACAAGCCCCCAAAATGACTTTTCTCAGTGCGCTTATTGACAAAGTGTGGAATTACTCATTTTTTGAGGTGGTTTTATGGTTGAGATTCGCAAATACATTTATATACTTGTTACTTTAACACTTAATACTTTAAGCTGTTTGATTATTCATATTAATTTTTTTTCGTAATTTCAACCTACGTAACTGACGTGATATCGAAGTTGGCTTCCAAAAGTACGTTATATCATTACGTTTTAAGCGATCCAAATGTTCTTTTTTTAAATGTACACCACGGTAAAATATAAGAAGATAACAGGCTTTTAAGTAGGTATAAATTTCTGCTTTTAATAGATGGTGGACAGAATTTCCTCCAACGTTCACCTCTTCTTAGTTATAGACGAACAAAAAGAAAGCAGTTATAACAAACTCATCCTACACCCTTTGTCCAAGAACGTTAAACAGCAATACGTCTAAAAGTATCACATTATAGTAGTTAAAAAAACAACCTATTATCATGTTTAAATCCTGTATAATGTTACTCTGTTTTCTAGTAAAACTGCCGTAGTCATACCTCTAACCTTACCTTTGATGTATGCCTTTGTAGTCATACCTTCAACCTTATCTTTGATGTACGCATTTGGTAGTCATACCTTCAACCTTACCTTTGATGCAAGCTTTTGTAGTCATACCTCCAACCTTACTTTTGATGCACGCCTTTTGTAGTCATACCTTTAACCTTACCTTTGATGCACGTATTTTATAGTCATACCTCCAACCTTACCTTTGATGTGCGCCTTTTGTAGTAATACCTCCAACCTTACCTTTGATGCACGCTTTTGTAGTCATACCTCCAACCTTACTTTTGATGCACGCCTTTTGTAGTCATACTTCCAACCTTACCTTTGATGTACGCCGTTAATAGTCATACCTCCAACCTTACTTTTGATGCACGCCTTTTGTAGTCATACCTCCAACCTTACCTTTGATGTGTGCCTTTTATAGTCATACCCCCAACCTTACCTTTGATGCACGCCTTTTGTAGTCATACCTCCAACCTTACCTTTGATGTACGTCTTCGTAGTCATACCTCCAACATTACCTTTGATGTGTGCCTTTTATAGTCATACCTTCAATCTTACCTTTGATGCACACCTTTTGTAGTCATACCTCCAACCTTACCTTTGATGCACGCTTTTGTAGTCATACCTCCAACCTTACCTTTGATGTATGCCTTTTATAGTCATACCTCCAACCTTACCTTTGGTGTACGTCTTTGTAGTCATACCTCCAACCTTACCTTTGATGCACGCTTTTATAGTCATACCACCAACCTTACCTTTGATGCACGTCTTTTATAGTCATACCTCCAACCTTACCTTTGATGTACGCCTTTTATAGTCATACCTCCAACCTTACCTTTGATGAACGCTTTTGTAGTCATACCTCCAACCTTACCTTTGATGTACGCCTTTTATAGTCATACCTCCAACCTTACTTTTGATGTACGCCTTTCATATGTATTAGATTTGTGTTATCCTAGCATGTTAAATCTTAAATACACAGTGATAAGACCTCCATCTGTTTTATTAGACAGTTGGAACTTTTGTCCAATTGCAGTATAATACACACATCTGTCGCAAACTGTTAAAAGATAAAGATAGATTAAGAAAAACAAATAAGACGTGTTGGAAATATTTGGTCCATGAAGGTATAATACTTAAGAAATAGAAAGGAATTTCCACACTGTATTTCTGTAACTAGTCAAATAAACACTACAAATCAACTGGACAGTATTATTGTACCAACATCAAGCAAGAATCAGCCATTCTTGATAGTGTTTCTTTAGAGATTGAAATACAAGTTTTTGAATCATTTCTTTTTGAACAATAATGTTTAGTTTCAACCAGGTCAGGATGGTACAATCTTCGCTTTCACACCGGCCATGAGAAAGAAAAAGAAAAGAAAAATGATCTTAAGAATCATCATAGAAACCGATGGTATTCTTCTCATCTTCCGAATAGATCCTTCTATTACTACTCATCTATAAAACTTTTTGCATTTTATCCTTTAGAAATTCCAAACCAATTCATATCATTATGTGTTGTGTCGAGGGAAAAGCCTTTTCCGAAAGCCATGTAGCATTACAGCTCAGCATGTCGACATGGTAAAGTGGTGTGTGAAGATGATTGTAGTATATATCTGTATATCAACATATACACGAAGAAGATTAATCTATCGGGGACTATTTAGAATATTTATCTAAGCACGAACATAACCTTTTACGACGAATCGAATCTTTGGAATTCAGGAGTATTCCTGTTCGTGTGCTATTGTGTGACCCAGTCTTCTACAATGCTAGTTGATTTTACTTCTCAGTCACCTACCATCTACCTTTTCATGTTCCTTGCAAAGTTTACATAAACATTATACACTTTTTATCACAACTTGATAATTTGTTACAATTTACAACTTTTTTCATTACAGTAAAATTTGATATGTTTAGTATACAACCCAGTAAGTCCATACCGATATTAGCCATACGTCTGGTTGCTCCTTGTCTTGTTTCTAGTTTTCTTAGTATTTTGTTCCAGTTTAAGGTCTTGGGTGAACCGCTTGTGTTCTTGACATGTCTGGCCACTAACTGGTAATTTTCATACACCCTATTCATTGTGTTGAATTCCCGTGTGAGCAAACTAATAATAATAACCGAACAAAAAAAATCACATGGCTGTCGTTGTTTGATATAACAGAACAAAGCATGTATGGCCACTAACTGGTAATTTTCTTGCAACCTATTCATTGTGTTTGTTTCCCGTGTGATCAAACTCATAATACAAACCGAACAAAAAAGTTCTTATGACTGTCGTTGTTTGATATAACAGAACAAACACATGTCTGGCCACTAACTGGTCATTTCCATGCAACCTATTGGATTCCCGTGTGAGCAAACTCATAACACAAACTGAAACAATGACCGTCTTTGTTTGATATAACAGAACAAAGCATGGTTTGTTACCGAAACGTATTAATACATTATCTTTCATTATTTCAGTTGAGCCTGGCACACTGCGTCTGGCTGATGGTCCTTCGATGATGGAGGGACGTTTGGAGATGTTCTACAATGGAGAATGGGGAAGCGTATGTGGGAAAGATTTCAGTCTCAACGAGGCTATAGTTTCCTGTAAACAGATGGGTTTTAGGTATAGTTCCTTCCACTGTGGATAATGTATTTCAGCTAAATTATATATTGAGATATAATACAATGAATACATGATGACCAGCGTTAACTTGATATTGAGTGAATACCACATCTTATCGTCAACTAGTTAATTGGATTAAAAAATGGAATATAAACATCAATTTCAGCACCTTTAACCCATCATTTTCATCACAAATTAACAAATTGGATTGTTTTGTTACTTGCAGACCTGAGAGTTATAGATTCGGCTACATGGTTGGGACGGGACCAGTATGGGGTCCATTCGGTTGTTCGGAGGCTAGGACGGAGAACAGACTATTGGACTGTCGTAATGATATTGATAACGGTGAAACGGTTTGTAATCATGGACAAGATGTGTGGTTGGTCTGTGTGCCGGATACGGGAACTACCACTCCAAGTGCAGCTGAGGGTATGTACAAAAAGCATTTTATCATCCCCCTAATCATATGATTGTGTAACGTGCACCCTCTGGTAGCGCATGTGCACGCGGGATCTCGATTTAATCAAAGTTAACTGCTCCAGAAGTGTATTTGGACTCCAAGGCTACCTTGCCGAGCAACTGAACAACTTTATGTACAAAACTATCAAATACCAATAGCAATATATATACAAATGTAGCCTGGACAGTGCATCTGTCCTCTCGACTTATAATACGCTTCACCTGGACATTATCCAGCATTATATCTTCGTTTTGTTTTGAAACGAACCTAAATTTCTGGGTACGTTCCGGGAATAATTGTTGAATTTTATCGCTTCCACGGTAGATGCGTTTCTATCACTTTTGTGAACACCTCCGTTCTGCCTCTGACATGAGTGTAGCCAATAAAATGTCAACGACAACATTATCTATGTGAATATTGACATTAAATTGTCACCATAGAGACAGACGTTTCCGGTCTAACTTGTCTGCTACGTTGCTCCAGGAAGTACGCAAGTACCGGGTAACCTACGGGCTTGGATTACCAGAGCAGTCTTCAGGTGGTGACCCGTTATACAGGAAGCTTTGTGTAGCTTCTTGCGTCTACAGCCCATCTCTTATTGGCGCTGTAACCCAATATAACGTACATTACAACCAGCAGAGTAGCCTTTACAAGCAACTCTTTATTCAGAAGCTTCTGGTTTTGTTAAATGTAATAACGTGTTCTTACATTGCTTTCCACCGACTCGTGTAATTAATAAGGCATCGAGACATTTTCCAACCAAAAGTACTGACTTTAATAAGTATTTCTGAAAATCATGTTCCATGGCACAAGTATATTTACATAACTAATCAATTATTCAATTATCATCAAGAAACTTGTAAAAACACACATAAATCATAGAAATATTATTAATAAGTGTATAATCTGTTAATAGTGGTTTTGATCAAATTCAGCTAATTATGAGTAATTAAACAAAAATTAATATAACCAAATGCCTAACGAAACGTTTAGTCGACGTGGGTCAAAGGGAGACAACTCCAATTGAAATTACACAGTAATCACAATTGTTGCTTTAAGGTCAAGGACGCCGATTCTAAACTTCATTTCCTACTTATCAAACTATCACACCCATATCAAGAACCATACTTTCTAAAACCATTTTGAATTTAAGGATTGTAGGGTCAATGTCATAGTATCTATTTTTAGAAAACGCTATACCGATTTCATGTCATTTCTGGATGAATTTTAATCATATTTCATACACAATTTTATTGCACATCCATTTTGCATTTGAAACTCGAGGAATCTTTATGATTTGTAATGCCTTGTTTTGATGATAACTGATGACTGACAACTGATGACAACTGATGACTGACAACTGATGACAACTGATGACTGACAACTGATGACTGACAACTGATGACAACTGATGACTGACAACTGATGACAACTGATGACTGACAACTGATGACTGACAACTGATGACTGACAACTGATGACGTTTGATTTTGAGTAAGATTCTGTAAAACGTTAAGTATATAGCAGACTAAGATTACCCAGGCATTTATAAGGACAAATGATGATGTTTATTTTGGAGTTAGATTCTGTGAAACAATTACATAACTCCAAAATGAAAATGTGATGATGAGGAAACACATTATCACTTACATGGTTCGTTAGTTTCTATTCAAAAGCACACACATAGCAATATTTTATACATTTTCCCCAAAATATAAGAAATTCTGATAATACCTTACCAGATAAAATCAAATTATTCTTTTCATTTCCGATTGGAAGGAAATCCTGCAGATTAAATGAATGATTTGAATGTCCAACTTTGGCATTGAAATACAAGTGCGTGGGTATCTGTGGTTTTCTATACAGACTGTACTTCGTACATTCCCATATCAGAGAGACTATTTCGTTTTGACCAACATCATGTCATCATCTTCAATATATATCTTACACGGCTTATATATACTTACAGGTGACGTCCGTCTGATCAACACCAAGGACGGTACTATCGGCGCAGGTAGAGTTGAGATCTATCATGAAGGAGTTTGGGGAACTGTGTGTGATGACCAGTTTGAAGAGGATGATGCACGCGTGGTATGTCGGCAGTTAGGATACAGGTAAATCACGTGGACGGTTGTTACGTGTGCTATATTATTCTATAACGTTCCTTTCTCATTGAAATTGTTTTCCAAAATAAATAAACACAATGTAGTCCCCGAGTTGCCAGAAAACACTATAGGAGAACAGTTACCAAGGCAACGAGCTATAACATGTATGATTAATAACATATATGGAATATAAATTGAAAAACTAACAACAACAACCCCCCCCCCCCCCCCCCCCCCCCAAAAAAAAAAAAAAAATAAAAACCAAACAAACAAGTCTGATTCGAAAAATAAATTCTAAGTTCTATCTGCAGTGAACTCCTGTATTAGTTAAGTTGTGCATTTAGCTCCGTGTTTGCTTTGTTGTGCTTTAGAAACATGATTATACTTTTCCTTACTGAACCGACTTATCGATATCGTAGATGGCAATAAACACTGATGTACAACACCTAGTGCAAGGGACATTACCCTTACGTGCATTTAGATCGCGTGAATTTTACCGGGGGATTTACTTGGTATAATGCCTAGAGATCAGTATGATGAAGGAAGGCGATACGCTCTCACTAAATAGATTACAGATGATTAACAATCAGCTTTCTAATAATTATCACGTGACGTGTTAGGAACAGTTAGAGTACGGGTAATTCAAATATGATATGTTAACGGAGTATAGGTAAATCGGGTATGATATGTTAACGGAGTATAGGTAAATCGGGTATAATATGTTAACAGAGTATAGGTAAATCGGGTATGATATGTTAATAGAGTGAACAGTATAAACATATAGGTAAATCGGTTGATATGTAAACGGTATGATATTATGTTAACAGAGTATAGGTAAATCGGGTATGATATGTTAATAGAGTATAGGTAAATCGGGTATGATATGTTAACAGAGTATAGGTAAATCGGGTATGATATGTTAACGGAGTATAGGTAAATCGGATATAATGTGTTAATAGAGTATAGGTAAATCGGGTATGATATGTTAGCCGGGTATAGAAATTCGGGTATGATATGTTAACGGAGTATAGGTAAATCGGATATAATGTGTTAACAGATTATAGATAAATGGGGTATGATATGTTAACAGAGTATAGGTAAATCGGGTATGATATGTTAACAGAGTATAGGTAAATCGGGTATGATATGTTAACGGAGTATAGGTAAATCGGGTATGATATGTTAATAGAGTATAGGTAAATCGGGTATGATATGTTAACGGAGTATAGGTAAATCGGGTATGATATGTTAACGGAGTATAGGTAAATCGGGTATGATATGTTAATAGAGTATAGGTAAATCGGGTATGATATGTTAACGGAGTATAGGTAAATCGGGTATGATATGTTAATAGAGTATAGGTAAATCGGGTATGATATGTTAATAGAGTATAGGTAAATCGGGTATGATATGTTGATAGAGTATAGGTAAATCGGGTATAATATGTTAACGGAGTATAGGTAAATCGGGTATGATATGTTAATATGTTAACGGAGTATAGGTAAATCGGGTATGATATGTTAACGGAGTATAGGTAAATCGGGTATGATATGTTAACGGAGTATAGGTAAATCGGGTATAATATGTTAACAGAGTATAGGTAAATCGGGTATGATATGTTAACGGAGTATAGGTAAATCGGGTATGATATGTTAGCCGGATATAGAAATTCGGGTATGATATGTTAACGGAGTATAGGTAAATCGGGTATGATATGTTAACGGAGTATAGGTAAATAGGGTATGATATGTTAACAGAGTATAGGTAAATCGGGTATGATATGTTAACAGAGTATAGGTAAATCGGGTATGATATGTTAACAGAGTATAGGTAAATCGGGTATGATATGTTAATAGAGTATAGGTAAATCGGGTATGATATGTTAATAGAGTATAGGTAAATAGGGTATGATATGTTAACAGAGTATAGGTAAATCGGGTATGATATGTTAACAGAGTATAGGTAAATCGGGTATGATATGTTAACGGAGTATAGGTAAATCGGAGTATAGGTAAATCGGGTATGATATGTTAACGGAGTATAGGTAAATCGGGTATGATATGTTAACGGAGTATAGGTAAATCGGGTATGATATGTTAATAGAGTATAGGTAAATCGGGTATGATATGTTAACAGAGTATAGGTAAATCGGGTATGATATGTTAATAGAGTATAGGTAAATCGGTTATGATATGTAAACGGAGTATAGGTAAATCGGTTGATATGTAAACGGAGTATAGGTAAATCGGGTATGATATGTTAACGGAGTATAGGTAAATCGGGTATGATATGTTAATAGAGTATAGGTAAATCGGGTATGATATGTTAACGGAGTATAGGTAAATCGGGTATGATATGTTAACGGAGTATAGGTAAATCGGGTATGATATGTTAACGGAGTATAGGTAAATCGGGTATAATATGTTAGCCGGGTATAGTTAAATCGGGTATGATATGTTAACAGTTAACATATAGGTAAATCGGGTATGATATGTTAACGGAGCATAGGTAAATCGGGTATAATATGTTAGCCGGGTATAGTTAAATCGGGTATGATATGTTAACAGTTAACATATAGATAAATCGGGTATGATATGTTAACGGAGTATAGGTAAATCGGGTATGATATGTTAATAGAGTATAGGTAAATCGGGTATGATATGTTAACAGTTAACATATAGGTAAATCGGGTATGATATGTTAACGGAGTATAGGTAAATCGGGTATGATATGTTAACGGAGTATAGGTAAATCGGGTATGATATGTTAACGGAGTATAGGTAAATCGGGTATGATATGTTAACGGAGTATAGGTAAATCGGGTATAATATGTTAGCCGGGTATAGTTAAATCGGGTATGATATGTTAACAGGGTATAGGTAAATCGGGTATGATATGTTAACGGAGTATAGGAAATCAGGTATGATATGTTAACAGTTAACATATAGGTAAATCGGGTATGATATGTTAATAGAGTATAGGTAAATCGGGTATGATATGTTAACGGAGTATAGGAAATCGGGTATGATATGTTAACGGAGTATAGGAAATCGGGTATGATATGTTAACAGTTAACATATAGATAAATCGGGTATGATATGTTTACAGAGTATAGGAAATCAGGTATGATATGTTAACGGAGTATAGGTAAATCGGGTATGATATGTTAACAGAGTATAGGTAAATCGGGTATGATATGTTAACGGAGTATAGGAAATCGGGTATGATATGTTAACGGAGTATAGGAAATCGGGTATGATATGTTAACAGTTAACATATAGATAAATCGGGTATGATATGTTTACAGAGTATAGGAAATCAGGTATGATATGTTAACGGAGTATAGGTAAATCGGGTATGATATGTTAACAGAGTATAGGTAAATCGGGTATGATATGTTAACGAAGTATAGGAAATCAGGTATGATATTGTGACAGGTTCTATGGATACCGAGATAGTTAGAGTTTAGGTAAGTGGAGTATGATTGGTGACTGAGTACAGGTAAATCAAGTAAAACATATCGACAGGTACACAAAAAAGTAGGATATCTAGATAGTAATGGGACAATTACAATCATTTATGAAATGTAGACAGTTTCGGTAAGTATGTGTGATATGTAGATATCTTTTTCTATGTTACCCTGTATACTTAAATTTATCAGCACTTCCGGTAGTCTGTCTACATGTTTTTATTACATTATTTATATTCTAAATCACAGAGCGTTTATCTTTATTTTTTAGCGGTGAAGCTAGAGTTTTTACAGAAGCTTATTACGGCCAAGGCAATGATCCTACCTGGATGGATGACATCAACTGTAATGGCGGTGAAGATAGGTTAGCCGACTGCAGTTTCGCCGGGTGGGGAGAAGAGGACTGTTCTCATGGCGAGGATGTAGGGGTTCAATGTACATCCTACGGTACAACAACGTCTACATCAACTACAACTCCTCCTGATATAGAGGGTAAATATCAAGATTTCATCAGTCCAGAACTCTGATCATAAAACGGTAGTAACTGCAATCAGATCTCAATGAAAAATGATATTAAAATCTAGATACAAAACAGCACCACTGTAGCAATAGGTTAAATAAGTGAAGGATTGAAATAAGTTTATACTGCAACTGAGAGGTGTGAATAAAATTGTGTTCCGACAGGACGAATCCGACTAGTTAATGGTAACAGCCGTTACGAGGGCCGAGTGGAGGTGTTCCATAACGACGTGTGGGGTACAGTGTGTGACGACAGTTGGGACAACCGTGACGCTGCTGTTGTCTGTCGACAACTAGGATACAGGTAATGTTTAAAAGTCCTTATAGTTCCATACTATCATTGCTCAAACTGTGATAAAAGGTTAAAACACAGTACATTATTATAAACGATAAAACATGATAAACTTTGATACCCGATAAAACAGGGTAAACTTTGATACCCGATAAGACTTGGTAAACTTTGATAAACAATAAAACATGATACACTTTGATACACGATAAAACATGATAAACTTTGATAAACAATAAAACATGATACACTTTGATACACGATAAAACATGATAAACTTTGATAAACAATAAAACATGATACACTTTGATACACGATAAAACATGATAAACTTTTGATAAACGATAAAACATGATACACTTTGATACACGATAAAACATGATAAACTTTGATAAACAATAAAACATGATACATTTTGATACACGATAAAACAGGGTAAACTTTGATACACGATAAGACTTGGTAAACTTTGATAAACGAGAAAACATGATAAACTTTGATAAACGATAAAACATGATAAACTTTGATAAACAATAAAACATGATACACTTTGATACACGATAAAACATGATAAACATGATAAACTTTGATAAACAATAAAACATGATACACTTTGATACACGATAAAACATGATAAACTTTGATAAACAATAAAACATGATACATTTTGATACACGATAAAACAGGGTAAACTTTGATACACGATAAGACATGATAAACTTTGATAAACAATAAAACATGATAAACTTTGATAAACGATAAAACATGATAAACTTTGATAAACAATAAAACATGATACACTTTGATACACGATAAAACATGATAAACTTTTGATAAACGATAAAACATGATACACTTTGATACACGATAAAACATGATAAACTTTGATAAACAATAAAACATGATACATTTTGATACACGATAAAACAGGGTAAACTTTGATACACGATAAGACTTGGTAAACTTTGATAAACGAGAAAACATGATAAACTTTGATAAACGATAAAACATGATAAACTTTGATAAACGATAAGACATGGTAAACGTTGATAAACGATAGGACATGATAAACTTTGATAAACGATAAAACATGGTAAACTTTGATACACGATAAAACATGATAAACTTTGATAAACGATAAAACATGGTAAACTTTGATACACGATAAAACATGATAAACTTTGATAAACGATAAGACATGATAAACTTTGATAAACGATAAGACATGATAAACTTTGATAAACGATAAGACATGATAAACATTGATAAACGATAAGATAAAGTAAAACCATGAAAAACGTTAAAAGAGTCACCTATGATCAATGATAAAGATAATTAAACCATAAAAAACTTTGTTAAACTATGATATACGATAGAACAATAAACTATGATATACGATAGAGTAATAAACTATGATATACGATAGAACAATAAACTATGATGTACGATAGAGTAACAAACTATGATATACGATAGAGTAATAAACTATGATATACGACAGAACAATAAACTATGATATACGACAGAACAATAAACTATGATATACGATAGAGTAATAAACTATGATATACGACAGAACAATAAACTATGATATACGACAGAACAATAAACTATGATATACGATAGATTAATAAACTATGATATACGATAGAACAATAAACTATGATATACGACAGAACAATAAACTATGATATACGATAGAGTAATAAACTATGATATACGACAGAACAATAAACTATGATATACGACAGAACAATAAACTATGATATACGATAGAGTAATAAACTATGATATACGATAGAACAATAAACTATGATATACGATAGAACAATAAACTATGATATACGATAGAGTAATAAACTATGATATACGATAGATATACAATAAACTATGATATACGATAGAACAATAAACTATGATATACGATAGAACAATAAACTATGATATACGATAGAACAATAAACTATGATATACGATAGAACAATAAACTATGATATACGATAGAACAATAAACTATGATATACGATAGAACAATAAACTATGATATACGATAGAGTAATATACTATGATATACGATAGAACAATAAACTATGATATACGATAGAACAATATACTATGATATACGATAGAACAATAAACTATGATATACGATAGAACAATAAACTATGATATACGATAGAACAATAAACTATGATATACGATAGAACAATAAACTATGATATACGATAGAGTAACAAACTATGATATACGATAGAACAATTATATACATAAAAACAACGACACCACAGGGTAGGGCAAATACTTCATATATACATAAAGACAACGACACCACAGGGTAGGGCAAATACTTCATATATACATAAAAACAACGACACCACAAGGTAGGGCAAATACTTCATATAGACATAAAACCAACGACACCACAGGGTAGGGCAAATACTTTATATATACATAAAAAACAACGACACCACAGGGTAGGGCAAATACTTCATATATACATAAAAAACGACACCACAAGGTAGGGCAAATACTTCATATATACAAAAAAACAACGACACCACAGGGTAGGGCAAATACTTCATATATACATAAAAACAACGACACCACAGGGTAGGGCAAATACTTCATATATACATAAAAACAACGACACCACAGGGTAGGGCAAATACTTCATATAGACATAAAAAAACAACGACACCACAGGGTAGGGCAAATACTTCATATATACATAAAAACAACGACACCACAGGGTAGGGCAAATACTTCATATATACATAAAAACAACGACACCACAGGGTAGGGCAAATACTTCATATATACATAAAAACAACGACACCACAGGGTAGGGCAAATACTTTATATAGACATGAAGCAACGACACCACAGGGTAGGGCAAATACTTCATATATACCTATAAAAACGACACCACAGGGTAGGGCAAATACTTCATATATACATAAAAACAACGACACCACAGGGTAGGGCAAATACTTCATATATACATAAAAACAACGACACCACAGGGTAGGGCAAATAATATATACATAAAAAACAACGACACCAAAGGGTAGGGCAAATACTTCATATATACATAAAAAATAACGACCACACAGGGTAGGGCAAATACTTCATATAGACAAAAAAACAACGACACCACAGGGTAGGGCAAATACTTCATATATACATAAAGACAACGACAACACAGGGTAGGGCAAATACTTCATATATACATAAAAACAACGACACCACAGGGTAGGGCAAATACTTCATATATACATAAAAAAAAACGACACCACAGGGTAGGGCAAATACTTCATATATACATAAAAACAACGACACCACAGGGTAGGGCAAATACTTCATATATACATAAAAAAAAACGACACCACAGGGTAGGGCAAATACTTCATATATAAAAACAACGACACCACTGGTTAGGGCAAATACTTTATATATAAAAAAAAACAACGACACCACAGGGTAGGGCAAATACTTCATATATACATAAAAAACAACGACACCACAGGGTAGGGCAAATACTTCATATATACATAAAAACAACGACACCACAGGGTAGGACAAATACTTCATATATATATAAATAAAAACAACGACACCACAGGGTAGGGCAAATACTTCATATATACATAAAAACAACGACACCACAGGGTAGGGCAAATACTTCATATATACATAAAAAAAAACAACGACACCACAGGGTAGGGCAAATACTTCATATATACATAAAAACTTCATATATACATAAAAAAAACGACACATAAAAACAGGGTAGGGCAAATACTTCATATATACATAAAAACAACACACCACAGGGTAAAATACTTCATATATACATAAAAACAACGACACCACAGGGTAGGGCAAATACTTCATATATACATAAAAACAACGACACCACAGGGTAGGGCAAATACTTCATATATACATAAAAACAACGACACCACAGGGTAGGGCAAATACTTCATATATACATAAAAAATAACAACCACACAGGGTAGGGGAAATACTTCATATATACATAAAAACAACGACACCACAGGGTAGGGCAAATACTTCATATATACATAAAACAACGACACCACAGGGTAGGGCAAATACTTCATATATACATAAAAAACAACGACACCACAGGGTAGGGCAAATACTTCATATATACATAAAAACAACGACACCACAGGGTAGGGCAAATACTTCATATATACATAAAAACAACGAAACCACAGGGTAGGGCAAATACTTCATATATACATAAAAAACAACGACACCACAGGGTAGGGCAAATACTTCATATATACATAAAAACAACGACACCACAGGGTAGGGCAAATACTTCATATATACATAAAAACAACGACACCACAGGGTAGGGCAAATACTTCATATATACATAAAAACAACGACACCACAGGGTAGTTCATATATACATAAAAACAACGACACCACAGGGTAGGGCAAATACTTCATATATACATAAAAACAACGACACCACAGGGTAGGGCAAATACTTCATATATACATAAAAACAACGACACCACAGGGTAGGGCAAATACTTCATATAGACATAAAACCAACGACACCACAGGGTAGGGCAAATACTTCATATATACATAAAACAACGACACCACAGGGTAGGGCAAATACTTCATATAGACATAAAACCAACGACACCACAGGGTAGGGCAAATACTTCATATATACATAAAAACAACGACACCACAGGGTAGGGCAAATACTTCATATATACATAAAAACAACGACACCACAGGGTAGGGCAAATACTTATACATATATACATATAAAAAAAACAACGACACCACAGGGTAGGGCAAATACTTCATATATACATAAAAACAACGACACCACAGGGTAGGGCAAATACTTCATATATACATAAAAACAACAGGGTACACATAAAACACAGGGTAGTACTTCATATATACATAAAAACAACGACACCACAGGGTAGGGCAAATACTTCATATATACATAAAAACAACGACACCACAGGGTAGGGCAAATACTTCATATATACATAAAAAACAACGACACCACAGGGTAGGGCAAATACTTCATATATACCTAAAAAAACGACACCACAGGGTAGGGCAAATACTTCATATAGACATAAAACCAACGACACCACAGGGTAGGGCAAATACTTCATATATACATAAAAAAAAAAAACAACGACACCACAGGGTAGGGCAAATACTTCATATATACATAAAAAACAACGACACCACAGGGTAGGGCAAATACTTCATATATACATAAAAACAACGACACCACAGGGTAGGGCAAATACTTCATATATACATAAAAACAACGACACCACAGGGTAGGGCAAATACTTTATATATACATAAAAACAACGACACCACAGGGTAGGGCAAATACTTTATATAGACATAAAACAACGACACCACAGGGTAGGGCAAATACTTCATATATACATAAAAACAACGACACCACAGGGTAGGGCAAATACTTTATATATACATAAAACAACGACACCACAGGGTAGGGCAAATACTTCATATAGACAAAAAACCAACGACACCACGGGGTAGGGCAAATACTTAAAATATACATAAAAAATAACGACACCACTGGGTAGGACAAATACTTCATATATACATAAAAACAACGACACCACAGGGTAGGGCAAATACTTTATATATACATAAAAACAACGACACCACAGGGTAGGGCAAATACTTCATATATACATATAAAAAAATATAAATATATTATAAAAACAGACACCACAGGGTTACTGCTTATATACATAAAAACAACTTGCTTCATTTTCACGGTAAAAATATTATAAGTCCCATGCTTCAGCATAGAATCATGCTTAAACAACGACAACACTAAGTATACTAGAATCATGCTTTAACAACGACACCACTAAGTATACTAGAACCATGCTTTAACAACATCACTACGTATACTAGAACCATGCTTTAACAACGACACCACTAAGTATACTATAACCATGCTTTAACAACATCACTAAGTATACTAGAACCATGCTTTAACAACATCACTAAGTATACTAGAATCATGCTTTAACAACGACAACACTAAGTATACTAGAATCATGCTTTAACAACGACACCACTAAGTATACTAGAACCATGCTTTAACAACATCACTACGTATACTAGAACCATGCTTTAACAACGACACCACTAAGTATACTAGAACCATGCTTTAACAACATCACTAAGTATACTAGAACCATGCTTTAACAACATCACTAAGTATATTAGAATCATGCTTTAACAACGACAACACTAAGTATACTAGAACCATGCTTTAACAACGACAACACTAAGTATACTAGAATCATGCTTTAACAACGACATCACTAAGTATACTAGAATCATGCTTTAACAACGACAACACTAAATATAGTAGAATAATGCTTTAACAACGACACCACTAAGTATACTAGAATCATGCTTTAACAACGACAACACTAAGTATACTAGAATCATGCTTTAACAACGACACCACTAAGTATACTAGAATCATGCTTTAACAACATCACTAAGTATACTAGAATCATGCTTAAACAACGACACCACTAAGTATACTAGAATCATGCTTTAACAACGACAACACTAAGTATACTAGAATCATGCTTTAACAACGACACCACTAAGTATACTAGAATCATGCTTTAACAACATCACTAAGTATACTAGAATCATGCTTTAACAACGACACCACTAAGTATACTAGAATCATGCTTTAACAACGACACCACTAAGTATACTAGAATCATGCTTTAACAACGACACCATTAAGTGTACTAGAATCATGCTTTAACAACGACACCACTAAGTATACTAGAATCATGCTTTAACAACATCACTAAGTATACTAGAACCATGTTTTAACAAAGACACCAATAAGTATACTAGAATCATGCTTTAACAACGACACCACTAAGTATACTAGAATCATGCTTTCACAACGACAACACTAAGTATACTAGAATCATGCTTTAACAACGACAACACTAAGTATACTAGAATCATGCTTTAACAACGACACCACTAAGTATACTAGAATCATGCTTTAACAACGACACCACTAAGTATACTAGAATCATGCTTTAACAACGACACCACTAAGTATACTAGAATCATGCTTTAACAACGACACCACTAAGTATACTAGAATCATGCTTTCACAACGACAACACTAAGTATACTAGAATCATGCTTTAACAACGACACCACTAAGTATACTAGAATCATGCTTTAACAACATCACTAAGTATACTAGAATCATGCTTTAACAACGACACCACTAAGTATACTAGAATAATGCTTTAACAACGACATCACTAAGTATACTAGAATCATGAATTATGCTTTAACAACGACACCACTAAGTATACTAGAATCATGTTTTAACAACGACAACACTAAGTATACTAGAATCATGCGTTAACAACGACATCACTAAGTATACTAGAATCATGCTTTAACAACGACACCACTAAGTATACTAGAATCATGAATTATGCTTTAACAACGACACCACTAAGTATACTAGAACCATGTTTAACAACGAAATCACTAAGTATACTAGAATCATGCTTTAACAACATCACTAAGTATACTAGAATCATGCTTTAACAACGAAATCACTAAGTATACTAGAATCATGCTTTAACAACATCACTAAGTATACTAGAATCATGCTTTAACAACGACACCACTAAGTATACTAGAATCATGCTTTAACAACGACAACACTAAGTATACTAGAATCATGCTTTAAAAACGACACCACTAAGTATACTAGAATCATGCTTTAACAACGAAATCACTAAGTATACTAGAATCATGCTTTAACAACATCACTAAGTATACTAGAATCATGCTTTAACAACGAAATCACTAAGTATACTAGAATCATGCTTTAACAACATCACTAAGTATACTAGAATCATGCTTTAACAACATCACTAAGTATACTAGAATCATGCTTTAACAAAGACACCACTAAGTATACTAGAATAATGCTTTAAAAACGACACCAATAAGTATACCAGAACCGTGTTAATCGCTCTTTTGTTACCTTGATTAATTGAATTTGACTTTGGAATATGATTCTGTCGACATGTTGGTATTTTGTTTGTACTCAATACCGTTTACTGATGAAGTGTTTGGATTATGATTCTGTCGACATGTTGGTATTTTGTTTGTACTCAATACCGTTTACTGATGAAGTGTTTGGATTATAATTCTGTCGACATGTTGGTATTTTGTTTGTACTCAGTACCGTGTACTGATGGAGTGTTTGGATTATAATTCTGTCGACATGTTGGTATTTTGTTTGTACTCAGTACCGTGTACTGATGAAGTGTTTGGATTATGATTCTGTCGGCATGTTGTTAATTCGTTTGTACTCAATACCGTGTACTGATGAAGTGTTTGGATTATGATTCTGTCGACATGTTGTTAATTCGTTTGTACTCAATACCGTGTACTGATGAAGTGTTTGGATTATGATTCCGTCGATATGTTTGTATTGTGTTTGTTTTCAGTTTCATGTACTGATGGTTGTTTCAGGAGGCGTCACGAGAGTACGTTTGGTAGGAGGATCAAACGAGCGTGAGGGACGCGTGGAGGTGTTCCATGACAACGAATGGGGTACAATCTGTGACGATTACTGGGACTATCGAGATGCTACTGTCGTGTGTAGGATGCTGGGATACTCGTAAGTTTATTTGTAGTGTAGTGTAGAGATATCGTTTTTGATTCGGGACAACAGAGGATTACTCTATCATTTTACACTGTGACGCCTTGGTATACATTCGTTTGGCTCGGTGACTTATCGAGATTTTGCGTGAACTGAATCTGAAACTTCTCAATTCACCGTCTTCTTCCCTGATAGTGAAGCAATGAGGCTGCCTAATATGACGGCTTAAATCACACTCATTTGTGAAGTTGATTTGCTTCTGTTAATCACTTAGATTTCGTATAAACATGAATTTGCGAACGGTGATTCAGAAATGACGTTTTATTCGCGAATGAGGAGATATTAGATATATATCAGTAACCGAATCAGCATGGATTTTCCCAAGAACTTTAGTTACGTACAAAGAATCGCGAAGGACTTGAATTCGCGATTGGCTATCTTTAGGTAATAACGCGAAAGTAAATCCGACGCAAATTATAAGTGATTTACAGTATTGAGAACATGGATTATTTCTGAGGGACAGAGCTCTGTAGAAGACGTCAACAAAATCCTTTACTTTAATTTAGTGCAAGGCCTGATTACCAGCCAAATTTCATTTGAAAAAAAAAAAAAAAAACATCCGACATACTTTTATTATTTGTGTCAAAAACGAATGATTAGATTTGAAAAGACAAGACAAGAAAATGAATATATAAACAAATTACATGCATGGTCTGTCTTTTAACACCTTACAGAGGTGGTCTTCACAAGGTGGAAGGTTATTTTGGTGCTGGCAGTGGCCAAATTTGGTTGGACAACGTCCAGTGCACAGGAAATGAGACAGATATAGGGAGGTGTGAACACCGAGGCTGGGGAGTCGCGGACTGCAGTCATGACGAAGATGCCGGAGTCATATGTTCAGGTACAAACATATTCTGGTCTGATTACTGGCATTTAACCCTATTTACTTCGTAGCCCAATCAAAACAAGTTTATATAAGATTTAAGCTACATCTTTGAACTCATCTCCATTGTGGAAATAACTTCTTATCTCCATCGAGGAACTATTTTCTAGGCTCCATCGGGAAACTATTTTCTTGGCTCCATCTGGGAACTATTTTCTTATCTCCATCGGGGAAATAACTTCTTATCTCCATCGAGGAACTATTTTCTAGGCTCCATCGGGAAACTATTTTCTTGGCTCCATCTGGGAACTATTTTCTTATCTCCATCGGGGAAATAACTTCTTATCTCCATCGGGAAACTATTTTCTTGGCTCCATCTGGGAACTATTTTCTTGGCTCCATCGGGGAACTATTTTCTGGGCTCCATCGGGGAACTATTTTCTAGGCTCCATCGGGAAACTATTTTCTTATCTCCATCGGAGAAATAACTTCTTATCTCCATCGAGGAACTATTTTCTAGGCTCCATCGGGAAACTATTTTCTTGGCTCCATCTGGGAACTATTTTCTTATCTCCATCGGGGAAATAACTTCTTATCTCCATCGGGAAACTATTTTCTTGGCTCCATCTGGGAACTATTTTCTTGGCTCCATCTGGGAACTATTTTCTAGGCTCCATCGGGGAACTATTTTCTAGGCTCCATCGGGAAACTATTTTCTTGGCTCCATCTGGAAGTAACTTCTTCGCTCCATCGGGGAACAAATTTCTTGTCTCCATTGGGGAACTAATTTTTCTCTTAAACGCTCTCGTGGAACTTCTCTGCAACATCGGGAATAAACTCTTAGATTTTCATTTTTATTAAGAGTTCGATGATAAGATGTCTCACCTCTGTATGCAGTTTAATTTAGGAGTGCTGTATTTTAAGATCCCTTCTTTGTTCGAAGTTTCATTTTTGTGTTCGCTATTTATAGATTCCTCGAGTTAACATTTTTTCAGTATATCGGTAGAACGAAAAAACTGTATGACGCAATTGAATTAATTGTTTGTTTACAATATATATTATGTAATTAAAAAACTTGTATCGAAAGGTGCTTACACCTGTATGTGTTTTGTACAATTTCTGCGATCCATCGTTTGTCAAGGTGTCAAATATAGATATCATTGATGCAGGTAGCACAGGGAATACCTCTATTCGCTTAGTAAATGGGGATGCCCAATCAGGACGAGTAGAGGTGTTTTACAACGGTCAGTGGGGAACGGTGTGTGACGATCTATGGGACGATCAGGATGCTACTGTTGTCTGCCGAATGCTTGGATTAAGGTAGATCTGTTTATTTCTATGGTTTGCTACAAAACAAGTACAAAATACAAATAACTTTTATAATATATAAAGTTTTTACAGTAACATTTACTAGCGGTTAAAATCTTACAGCGTGGAAAAGAGTAGATAACTTAACATATTTTTGGAATCCGGACTGAAGATATGTTTTTTTCTTGTAGATAAGCGGGAAACATTTTTTTAAATACCCAAGCTCTGCTTTGATGTTACAGTTTGCCAGGAACTGCTCGCACAGAGGCCTTTTATGGACAAGGCGAAGAACCGACATGGATGGATGACGTAGCTTGTACTGGCTCAGAGACATCTTTGTTTGAATGTCCCTTTAGAGGATGGGGAGTCGAGAATTGTGGTCACAGGGAGGACGCTGGTGTCTCGTGTGGAAAAAGAGGTAAGCATTAGATGTGAAGGTGAAATGACAACCTCGATAATTACAGGGTATTCGTGTGTTTACATCAACAGTTGATGTGATTAAGTAAGTCACAGGAGACACAGGGTCTAGGAAGATACTCATTTTCATAAAGTTGATGTTACAGTTGATGATGTTTAATCCAATAGTTTTTGAAGCTTTATATAACTTTTTACATTGACGCCATAGGCCACGCACATTAACAACGCCCCGGAAACGATGTTCGACGGTACATAACAACATTCATTGGTCGAGCAATAGAAACGGATCTGTTTTGGTTCTATTATGGAAACAACATGGAAAATATGAACACCTCAAAATAGTCATTATTCAACCTCCAATTCAATATAACTAGGACAAAAAGACCAACATGTCAACATAATCATAATCAAAACTCAAATTCAATAAAACCAGGACAAATATGAACGAAAGAAAGATTTTTGGCGACTCATGAAAAAGTACAAGGAAAGTAATAAATGAAGAAAAAGAAGAAAAAAACCCTAGATAATATATCAATTCGAACATCGCTCTTTACAACTGAATGAAGTGTTAAAGAAAACTCGATTGATCGCACAGCATGTCCTTATATTTAGATGACATTCGCCTTGTGAATGGCCGAAACCCAGACGAGGGCAGAGTGGAGGTTTACCACGACAGTCGCTGGGGTACAGTTTGTGATGATTTGTGGGATACCAATGATGCTATTGTTGTATGTAGAATGCTGGGATACAGGTAATGGAAAATTATCTTTGTTTCTTGACGAATAATGCTTATAGAGGAGGCGTTCTTACAACATAACAAGCACGAGAATGTGACGTTTTGATGGCTACACTGTCACCTTCATCAGACAAATAACCAGTTTGGTGTGTACCAGCACTGACGTACGTAGTGTAGGAGATCTACACTGTCACCCTCATCAAATAACCAGTGTGGTGTGTACTAGCACTGATGTACGTAGTGTAGGAGATCTACACTGTCACCCTCATCAGACAAATAACCAGTGTGGTGTGTACTAGCACTGACGTACGTAGTGTACGAGATCTACACTGTCACCTTCATCAGACAAATAACTAGTGTGGTGTGTACTAGCATTGACGTACGTAGTGTACGAGATCTACACTGTCACCTTCATCAGACAAATAACCAGTGTGGTGTGTACTAGCACTGACGTACGTAGTGTAGGAGATCTACACTGTCACCCTCATCAGACAAATAACCAGTGTGGTGTGTACTAGCACTGACGTACGTAGTGTACGAGATCTACACTGTCACCTTCATCAGACAAATAACCAGTGTGGTGTGTACTAGCACTGACGTACATAGTGAGATGATAAAGAATCGACCTTCTTTTGAGCTGTACTATAAACTATCATTTCATGTATTTTTGGTCTATAATCTGTTTATCGTCACACGATTTTTGACCGTAGTGTGCATAGGATTACAGACCGTGTAGTCATCGAAACGTCATACTTTTATCTTCTAATAGTTGTGTTATAAGATGAAGGTGACCGTGTAGTCATCGAAACCTTACACACTAATCTTCTGCTGGTTGTGTTATAAGAACTTCTGTTCTATTGATATAACCAACCGGGAGAAAACGTTCAAGAATAACACTTATGTTTCACTGAATGATATATAAAAATTTAACTTTAAGTGCAGCACGAGTGTAAAAGACAGCGTTGCAATGAATATTCAATCTTTCGCGTTTTTCATACTGTTTATTGGCGCGAGTCTGAACATGTCGCTTTGTCTATATCTAAAATTACTGTTAAACATAGTTTCTCGTGTAAAATATTCAAATTATTTAAGATAAAGTAAAACAGTACAACACTTATGATAACGATTACATTCAGATTAGCTAGTATCAATACTCACAGTAAGACGACATTTTGCTACTCTTACATAAGGTTATTTCTATCAGAGTTATCTTTCCCGATGTCCGCGATGCACTGTGGGAGAATTATTTTCACTGAATGACACTGTTAGCTTTACTTGCAAAATACCATTTATATTCCTATTGTCAAAATTTGAAATAATGATCTCTATCGCAAACAAAATATCTTCAGAAATACAGGTGATGATATAAGGCAAACCAAATGATGTGGATCGCTACATTTGACTGCATGTGTATAAAGCAAACCAGGGTCTTGAGCTCGAGCCCAGATGTAATGTATGCAAGTGTCACTTTGTTAAATCTGCCATAAAGTCTAAGAGAAATAGACTGTGCGCGGTAGTGGGATATGTTGTGCAGTCTATCCCATGGAGGGGAGACCACAAATCGTCTGTCAGAGTGTGACAATTTATCATAGTAAGCTATAACATTGGTAAATACTAATCAGGATAGGTTATAATACATTGTCCTGATCTCTCCGTAGCGGAAACGTTGGCAGGGCTTATACGGAGGCACGGTTTGGTGAAGGGTCTGAACCAACATGGATGGATGATGTCCAGTGTACCGGAACCGAATCGAGTTTATTTGAATGCACGTTCAGGGGATGGGGTCGTGAAAACTGTGGACACAGTGAGGATGCTGGTGTATCCTGTTTGGAAACAGACGGTGAGACTGTACCTTGACGCAACTCTTAATGTAAAAACGGCGCTAATGTAATCATTGTTACATTAAGCGTTGCGACCGTTACGCTTCATGTAATAAACTTCTCTTTATTACATCAAGAGTTGCAATTGTTACGCTTAGAGTAATACAAAATAAACTATTACACAAAGCGTTGTGGTTGTATTGCCTCTAATGTAGCAATTTTTATACTGTTACGGAAGTACACTGCGTGTAGATTACAAGACAATATAGCAATAATATACTATAATGGTGTATGTTCCCGTCAAGGTTTGGAGAGGCCAGGGTGTCGGTGGCCGAACGGTCTAGGTCGTTGCGCCCCGTGATCGTTGTAGCCTATCACCTCCTAGTTTTTGAGTTCGAAACCCGTTCAGAGAAGATACAGATTTATAGGGATTTCCTTTCCTTGTGGTCGAAATTTGGCAGTTACTTGCCGGAGGTCGGTGTTTCTATGCAGATATTCTAGGGTCTTCCTCTGCAACTTAAACTGGCATATCCGTAAATGACCTGCAATGTGTTGATCGGACAATCAACCAATTAATTCTCCTCGTCAATACTGACCGTTATACTGACTCCAGACCGTTCAGTACCTTGCTCCTTGCAGTAATAATGTTTTAAGGGGGGGAAGCTTCAAGTGCCATTTTAAACGTCTTTGATATGACACGGCTGACGGGGATCATCGTAATGTGTATGCATACAAAAAGGGAGGTAACTGGCATTTTAGCCACATGCAAGGTTTGATGGCATTCTAATCATTAATCTAATCATAACTGAAGCTATCATCGGAAAACAAAAGTGCTGACGTCCGTAGGTCCGGCTGTCTGGATGGACAGACGGACGGACGGATAGGGTGATTCCTATAGGGCTTCCGCATATCGATGTGGGGACCTAATAATACCCCAAAAGACATAATACAAAACAGAAGACTCAATATGTCCCCCTTCATTTCGGACTTTATTACACTAAGGACCTTCTTATATTTGTCAACAGTAGTTTCGACGCTTAATGTAATAAAAAAATTATTATTACATTAAACGTAACAGTTGCCCCGCTTAATGTAATAAAAATAACTTTATTATATTGTAACAATTATTACATTAAGCGCCGTTATTACATTAAGAGTTGCATAATACCTTAAGCTGTTTTAGAATTTTAAATTACAATTTAAGAGTTATGCCTGAGTTGCTCAAATATAAATTTGATATCTATATTCATTTTATGATTCTTATTGAATAGAAAATCTGGTGAAGGTACCAGTGACTTTCATAATAACACAGCGCAATATACCATCCTCATATTATATTCTGACAAACGCTCCATGTCCCACAGGTATTACAGACAAACGTCATGATGATTTTGAAATCCCAACCAACAATATCTTATGTATCTCATAGTCTTCGTAGTAAACGATACGTAAATATCTACAATATATGAAGATTACATTTTAAGACACCGACCAAGTATTCTATTCATCCTGTAACACTGATTGAAAATCAGACCATCAAAACTTCAACAGCTTTGTTGTTCGATCTCTTTTTATTGTCTGATGATGTACGACAAAATGATTGGTGCGCGCAGAAATATAGTTCAAAGCTGCAATTAATATGACAGCGATTATATGAATTTCCGTGAATAACTTTGTTATTATAACATTTTAAAACTTAAATTTCAACAGTTATTTTTCTTGTTAAGCGTAAGATTTAAGTTATTTCAGTAAGTAGTTCTGTCGAATTAACGCACGTGCTAAAATAGTTTTTTTTCTTCACTGCCGAATACAGAAAAAATATATGTGGCAGGTGTATTGCGACAATGGTAGAGCCAGTTGCAGGATAAGTTCATTTCTCTACCGATGTTCTTATACTCGATATTTCATAAACATTGCCATTTTCTCGACAACTAAATACTGGCCATCAAGTTAATGGTCGTTTAAATGCAATCATGCACTGTACCTTAATGTAAAACAGTGACTGTAACACCGTCGACCATTTCCACAACGACGCCGAGAAGCGATGGGATTGAAGGGTCCATCCGCCTGGCCGGCCGAGACAGCTCAGACAGAGTGGGCCGTGTTGAGATCTATCATGCTGGTCAGTGGGGAACCGTTTGTGATGATAGCTGGGACAAGACTGATGCACGTGTCGTCTGTAGGCAGTTAGGACTAGGGTAATGTATAGTCCATGTATAATTTTTTACCCAATTAGGACATGTGGCATGTATTTTTCACCAGGTGTTTCCAGGTAGATAAGACATTGTTACATTGTGTCGTCTCTAGGCAATTTTGGGGTGCGTCATATATAGTTAAATTGAAGTCTCCATGTATTTAAAACATGTGCTACGTATGTTCACATCTAGTTTTCAGGCAGTTCGGATATGTAATAGGTATTGTTCACGTGTTGTATCTAGTTAGTATGGACATACGTCATACACTGTTCACGTGTCGTTTCTAGGTAGTTAGGACATGCGTAATACACTGTTCACGTGTCGTTTTTAGGTAGTTAAGACATACGTCATACACTGTTCACGTGTAGTTTCTAGGTAGTTAAGACATGCGTCATACACTGTTCACGTGTCGTTTCTAGGTAGTTAGGACATGCGTCATACACTGTTCACGTGTCGTTTCTAGGTAGTTAAGACATACGTCATACACTGTTCACGTGTCGTTTCTAGGTAGTTAAGACATGCGTCATGCATTGTTCACGACTCTCTGTCGGCAGTTTAGACATTTCAGACATAAGTCAGATTTTGTAGTGCTTAAGGATTAGCAGTGTGATGCTATATGATACAGGTGTGCCTAATACCCCATTCATACGACGAAAATTTGCTTATATATGCAAATTTACACATAAGTAAATTTACACTCATAAGTAAAAGTTAATTTAATATGCATTCATAAGAGATTTATGTACCGTCAGTAAATCCCAAAATTGCCATTTGAAATAAGGAGATGAACCGATTCAGCCTGGTGAATTTTTTCAGAAAAGGGTATTCCCTTTCTATTTGGGCATAGGACTAGCTATTGGATGTTCCCGAATCTAGGAAACTAGAAGGAATGTCCGATCCACTGAATGGTACTTAATGACTTTAAAAACGAAGATTGGTATGAGAATTTTCGAATGAAAAAAGAAAAATTCTTAAAATTTTGAGAAAAATTGGAAAATGCTTTGGCCCCGGCACGCATATTCCCATCATAGCTCCTACGCATTCCCATGGAGACTACTTGAACTGGAAAGGGTTTTACTCCTTGATTTTGCAGGGTGTTTGCGACCACAGCTATATCTTTAGAGACATAAATATAGGTTGGCCAGGAAGGGTCCACTGTGCAAATTCGGAAATTTATCTCAAAGCACACACAACCATAACAACGCTTAAAATAGAGACTGATGCAATACACATGACAAAATACTTACATAAGTAAATTTGCTGCGTGTGTTGGACAGAGACATCTGTATGTCTGTATGGTGTATGTTCTGTAATCTGGTAATATAATGTTGGACAGAGACATCTGTAGGGTGTATGTTCTGTAATCTGGTAATATAATGTTGGACAGAGACATCTGTAGGGTGTATGTCTGTAGGGTGTATGTTCTGTAATCTGGTAATATAATGTTGGACTGAGACATCTGTAGGGTGTATGTCTGTAGGGTGTATGTTCTGTAATCTGGTAATATAATGTTGGACAGAGACATCTGTAGGGTGTATGTCTGTAGGGTGTATGTTCTGTAATCTGGTAATATAATGTTGGACAGAGACATCTGTAGGGTGTATGTTCTGTAATCTGGTAATATAATGTTGGACAGAGACATCTGTAGGGTGTATGTTCTGTAATCTGGTAATATAATGTTGGACAGAGACATCTGTAGGGTGTATGTTCTATAATCTGGTAATATAATGTTGGACAGAGACATCTGTAGGGTGTATGTTCTGTAATCTGGTAATATAATGTTGGACAGAGACATCTGTAGGGTGTATGTTCTGTAATCTGGTAATATAATGTTGGACAGAGACATCTGTAGGGTGTATGTTCTGTAATCTGGTAATATAATGTTGGACAGAGACTGTAGGGTGTGTAGGGTGTATGTTCTGTAATCTGACAGAGACATCTGTAGGGTGTATGTTCTGTAATCTGGTAATATAATGTTGGACAGAGACATCTGTAGGGTGTATGTTCTGTAATCTGGTAATATAATGTTGGACAGAGACATCTGTAGGGTGTATGTTCTGTAATCTGGTAATATAATGTTGGACAGAGACATCTGTAGGGTGTATGTTCTGTAATCTGGTAATATAATGTTGGACAGAGACATCTGTAGGGTGTATGTTCTGTAATCTGGTAATATAATGTTGGACAGAGACATCTGTGTACGTTCTCTGATCTGGTAATATAATGTTGGACAGAGACATCTGTAGGGTGTATGTTCTGTAATCTGGTAATATAATGTTGGACAGAGACATCTGTAGGGTGTATGTTCTATAATCTGGTAATATAATGTTGGACAGAGACATCTGTAGGGTGTATGTCTGTAGGGTGTATGTTCTGTAATCTGGTAATATAATGTTGGACAGAGACATCTGTAGGGTGTATGTTCTGTAATCTGGTAATATAATGTTGGACAGAGACATCTGTAGGGTGTATGTTCTGTAATCTGGTAATATAATGTTGGACAGAGACATCTGTAGGGTGTATGTTCTGTAATCTGGTAATATAATGTTGGACAGAGACATCTGTAGGGTGTATGTTCTGTAATCTGGTAATATAATGTTGGACAGAGACATCTGTAGGGTGTATGTCTGTAGGGTGTATGTCTGTAGGGTGTATGTTCTGTAATCTGGTAATATAATGTTGGACAGAGACATCTGTAGGGTGTATGTTCTGTAATCTGGTAATATAATGTTGGACTGTGACATCTGTAGGGTGTATGTCTGTAGGGTGTATCTGTAATCTAATATAATGTTGGACAGAGACATCTGTAGGGTGTATGTTCTGTAATCTGGTAATATAATGTTGGACAGAGATATCTGTAGGGTGTATGTTCTGTAATCTGGTAATATAATGTTGGACAGAGACATCTGTAGGGTGTATGTTCTGTAATCTGGTAATATAATGTTGGACAGAGACATCTGTAGGGTGTATGTTCTGTAATCTGGTAATATAATGTTGGACAGAGACATCTGTAGGGTGTATGTTCTGTAATCTGGTAATATAATGTTGGACAGAGACATCTGTAGTTGGACAGATGACATCTGTAGGGTGTAGGGTGTATGTTCTGTAATCTGGTAATATAATGTTGGACTGAGACATCTGTAGGGTGTATGTCTGTGTATGTTCTATAATCTGGTAATATAATGCTGGACAGAGACATCTGTAGGGTGTATGTTCTGTAATCTGGTAATATAATGTTGGACAGAGACATCTGTAGGGTGTATGTTCTGTAATCTGGTAATATAATGTTGGACAGAGACATCTGTAGGGTGTATGTTCTGTAATCTGGTAATATAATGTTGGACAGAGACATCTGTAGGGTGTATGTCTGTAGGGTGTATGTTCTGTAACCTGGTAATATAATGTTGGACAGAGACATCTGTAGGGTGTATGTCTGTAGGGTGTATGTTCTATAATCTGGTAATATAATGTTGGACAGAGACATCTGTAGGGTGTATGTTCTGTAATCTGGTAATATAATGTTGGACAGAGACATCTGTAGGGTGTATGTTCTGTAATCTGGTAATATAATGTTGGACAGAGACATCTGTAGGGTGTATGTTCTGTAATCTGGTAATATAATGTTGGACAGAGACATCTGTAGGGTGTAATGTCTGTAGGGTGTATGTTCTGTAATCTGGTAATATAATGTTGGACAGAGACATCTGTAGGGTGTATGTTCTGTAATCTGGTAATATAATGTTGGACAGAGACATCTGTAGGGTGTATGTTCTGTAATCTGGTAATATAATGTTGGACAGAGACATCTGTAGGGTGTATGTTCTGTAATCTGGTAATATAATGTTGGACAGAGACATCTGTAGGGTGTATGTTCTGTAATCTGGTAATATAATGTTGGACAGAGACATCTGTAGGGTGTATGTTCTGTAATCTGGTAATATAATGTTGGACAGAGACATCTGTAGGGTGTATGTCTGTAGGGTGTATGTTCTGTAATCTGGTAATATAATGTTGGACAGAGACATCTGTAGGGTGTATGTTCTGTAATCTGGTAATATAATGTTGGACAGAGACATCTGTAGGGTGTATGTCTGTAGGGTGTATGTTCTGTAATCTGGTAATATAATGTTGGACAGAGACATCTGTAGGGTGTATGTCTGTAGGGTGCGAGTTCTGTAATCTGGTAATATAATGTTGGACTGAGACATTTGTAGGGTGTATGTTCTATAATCTGGTAATATAATGTTGGACAGAGACATCTGTAGGGTGTATGTTCTGTAATCTGGTAATATAATGTTGGACAGAGACATCTGTAGGGTGTATGTTCTGTAATCTGGTAATATAATGTTGGACAGAGACATCTGTAGGGTGTATGTCTGTAGGTAATATAATGTTGGACAGAGACATCTGTTCTATAATCTGGTAATATAATGTTGGACAGAGACATCTGTAGGGTGTATGTTCTGTAATCTGGTAATATAATGTTGGACAGAGACATCTGTAGGGTGTATGTTCTGTAATCTGGTAATATAATGTTGGACAGAGACATCTGTAGGGTGTATGTTCTGTAATCTGGTAATATAATGTTGGACAGAGACATCTGTAGGGTGTATGTTCTGTAATCTGGTAATATAATGTTGGACAGAGACATCTGTAGGGTGTATGTCTGTAGGGTGTATGTTCTGTAATCTGGTAATATAATGTTGGACAGAGACATCTGTAGGGTGTATGTTCTGTAATCTGGTAATATAATGTTGGACAGAGACATCTGTAGGGTGTATGTTCTGTAATCTGGTAATATAATGTTGGACAGAGACATCTGTAGGGTGTATGTTCTGTAATCTGGTAATATAATGTTGGACAGAGACATCTGTAGGGTGTATGTTCTGTAATCTGGTAATATAATGTTGGACAGAGACATCTGTAGGGTGTATGTTCTGTAATCTGGTAATATAATGTTGGACAGAGACATCTGTAGGGTGTATGTATCTGTAGGGTGTATG